CCCCCCCGGGGCTCCCAGCCCCGGCCCCACAGCCAGCTCCTTCCCCCCGGACGCTGGGAATTAAAGCAGGAACCGTTTCTTGGCTTCACCTGTGGGGAGGCTGGGGGGGAATCACTCGCCCCGCTGAGATGCGCATGTTGGAGAGCCCTCTCTGGCTGTCGTGCCTTCGACCCATCCACAGACACAGCCTGCGCTGGCTTAATTAAACCTGAGCCGCCCCATGCGGAGCCTCCTCACCGCGGGCTTGGCCGCTGCGGGTCAGGCTCAGCCCCGCACACGGTTTGAGGCCGATCAAAGGCTGCCCAGGAGCTTCTCCGTGCAAACGTGAGCTGGCACGAGGGAGCAAACCCATTCCCCTTCTGCACCCGGTGTCGGTGCCACCCTTCCAGGTAGGAGCTTCTCTCCTGCCTCCCGAGGGCTCTCACGGCCGCTTGTTTTACGGCTTTGTTTGCCCTCTGAGGATCTGAAGGGAGATGGAAGGTTTGTGCCAGTCAGGTGAGAGATGACTCGTTCTGCTGCAGATTCTCCATGTCGGCTTCCTCTCTGGTTTTTGTGGGCACCTAGAGACCAGGAGGGGAGATCTCTGCACGTGTGCTGCTTGCCAGGGTCCCTTGGTAAGGGAGGGAAGATGCTTTGGGATGCAAATCTGTGCTTCTGGTTACTGAGGGAGTCGAGATGAGTAACTCGAGTCACAGATGTCTCGAGCTGGGTGAGATGAATTCCACCTCCGTGTCTGGAGCCTGTGGTGGGCTAGGTGCTGCCTGTGCGGTTTGTACTGCGAAGGCTGAGCTCTGGTGACTCAAGGCTTGGATTCTGGGACAGTCCTGCTGAGGACAGGGAAAGCGGTTTTGTTGGGATTTCCCCCTCTTTCCGCCCCCCACTTCTCATTCCTCTTCCCTTCTGACTTGTGCTGCTCAGGCAGATTTAGGAGGGGCGATCTCCCTCGTGCTCCCCTGCAGACTGGGACCATCGAGGCATCGTCAGGGTGCAGCGTGCACCCAAGGGCTGCAGAGCTCCTGCCACAAGGGGCTGAGCTCTCCCCCTGCCACGTGTTCCC